CATTAATATTATAAAAATTAATAAATTTGCAGAGTATTTGCGGGGCGGATAATTTTGAAAGCTCAACGGGTCCCCCGCGGGGCGGAGTATCTGCGGGTCCCCACGGGTAGCGGAGTATTTCTGCGCAGCCTAGCGAGAGGATGCTTCAGAGAACTACTCATAGAAAGGAACCGTAGCATTAATTTCGACCTAATCTCGACGGAGAGGATGTGGAGTTTGATAATCTCGCTGGCTGTTGCTCGCTGTCCTTTCCAATCCATAGATTGCCAATATTTAATGCTTGTTATCAATACATCACTTTTTACTTGACCTATTGTATTGACAATGAGAACTAGTCCGTCCCAAGTTCATGATGAAAACAGAAACCAGATTTTAACTAGACCCCCAACCTTTCTTAACATCTTTTTTTACCCCTGTGATATTCGGATTCAGCTGAGTATTTCCTGCCTACTCATTCAAAGTCTCTCATCCTTTTCTTATACACATGTTGATCCTGTCGTCTAACTTTAATCATTCTACTCCACGTTTAGACTGAGTTTCCGTGCGTATTCATCATTACATCTTTATTCTCACTTAGTCTACCTCTCCACTCCCATCAAACAATCGCTCTAACTATAATTCATCTCAACCCCCTCACAACAAAAATTATCTCCTACTCCTAGGCACAGTCTCAAGAAACATCCTTTAAACACCCACCAACCACTCCATTCCCGTAAAAATAGCTGTGTTCAATGTTCATCGAGATTAGGCTAGTTGCGCAACAAATGTAAGAATTGGCACGACCTCCTTATTTAGACTATCAATAACTGTTTAACTACTGTGTTACAGTCATGTTCGAGTCGAGTAGACTGATTATCACATGAGTTGCACCGATTACAATTCCAACTACAACTACAAGTATATATCTCTACTCGAGTAAATCTATAAAGCAAGTCCAAGAAAAAATTGAGCATCTGGATAAGAACCTTGATAGGTTTTATTATCCATGGAGATATTCGAATCAGATCTGATAACGTGGAAGCTTTAGATGAAACAGCATAAGGTTGATAAAATTGAAGAAAAGAAGAAGATCCTGTACATGTGTATGTGGATGTGGGAAGAATGACGTAATGAAATTTAAAGTTAACTGGTACATTGGTGAACTAAGAAATATCAGAAGACGTGGTTTGTAAGACGTTATAAGTAAGCTTACTTTGAGAAAAAAGCTGACGAGGTATACGAGGAGATCATGGAGCTTATCTGGTACTATGGGATGACTTGTAAGATTACCATGATTCAATTCTGACAGAGTGTGGGGTCTTAAATCTTTAGGTAAGGAAAGGGAGAGACGGGAAAGATATATGAGATGGGTTGTTTGAGTAGCGGAGTGATAAAGCTAAAATAGATAATATACAACAGGGACAACGACAAGACTGAATTCTTGAAGACGACAGCAACAAGCAAGTAAGTAGCAGATGATAGATCAAAAACTCCTGAATTCTCCTCTAAATTTCGACCCATCTTATATGGTTATGACCAATTATGCATTCCACATACACATTTTACAACTGTCCGGCAACAAATTCATCCACCCTAGAGTTACTCATCTATCAAACACAACAACGACAACCTCTCTCACAACATTTATCTATAAACTAAACTCGACCTTCATCAGCTCATCAATACCCTCCTTAATCGCACTCGTCTTAATATCATCCAACCTCTTCAACGGTGCTCGTGGGTATCCACCATATCCATAGTAACTTTGAATCGCACTCTTAGTTCCCGCAATTGCAGCTTTAGTAAGAACCCAATCACCCTTACTCAGAAGCTTTTGCAACGCGAATGCCTCATCCCTTTTACCCTCCCTATACAATTCCCAAACCTTAACACACACCTTGGGCATCACATTTGCACCACCCGCAATGATTCCTGAACCACCCGAAATCAAAGTCTGAGCTGTGAAATCACACATGCCCCCAAAAGCCATGTAGCCAGATCCTTCCGAGAAGGCAGTCTTGGCATTGGTGGCCAAAGCAACTCTGGTGAGCTTTCCAGTGTTACCACAGGTGAATTTGGTGCCGACGATATTGCGGTGTTTGGCGAGACGGATGATGAGATCGGAGTCCATATCAATACCGGCAACTGCACCTGGGTAATTGTATAGGATGATTGGTAAAGGAGATTCATCGGCTACTTGGATGAAATAGTTGTATACGGATTCTTCATCCATAAGACCACGGAAATACGAAGGAGGTAGTAGGAGAACGTATTCTCCTCCTGCTTTTTGTGATTCTTTGATGAGGTCGATGGTGCCGCGAACGGAACCTTCGGTTGCTCCGACGATAATGGGGACTTGGTCGAAGCCAGCGGAATCGAGAGCTTCACGGGTGGCACGGGTAACGGCTTGCTTTTCGTCGCGGGAAAGATGAACGGCTTCACCGTTCGATCCCATGGTTACTAGACCGACGAGACCGGCTTCGGCGAGACGGATGGCATGTCTTTTGATTGAGGCAATGTCGAGTTCTTCAGTCTCGGGGTCGAAAAATGTCATGGTTGGGGCGTAGATTCCATCTTGGAGGGGTCGACGTGTTACGTGACCATTTCCGTTTCCATTTCCGTTTGATCCGTTGGTTGCAGCCATGGTTGTGATGTTGTATATGTAGATGTATGAAAGGTAGGGGGGCTCAATACAGAGAAAAAGTGAATGTAGATATAGATATAGATATAGAAGAGAGAGAAGATTTCTCCTAAAATGTATTTATAAAGTGGTATAAGAAGAGGAAGAGAAGAAGGAAAGCACGATTGAAGTAGGAAACAGTATCATATGTATATGTTCGCTTCAAAAATGATGAGAAATCCCTTGAAACCACTTAACAGGAATGTATACTAATTTGTCCGAGGACCGGTGACTTAATCTTTTGTGAATAGTCATAAACATAAGATTGAGTTGTTTTTCAATAACTAGCCGAAGTTAGGAGGTGAATGGAGCTCGAGACTGGAGGATTGTGCTGGGTTTCCCTAGTAATTCGTCGAATGGTGGTCTACGTTTGCGTAAGTAGTGGGGGCATTTTGAACCTCCCCGTATAAGATTTCTTCCGATTTGTGTGTTAGCCATGAAGAGTCTTAAGGAAAGGCGGGATGGAGGTAGGAGGGGGTCAGAATTGACAGATGTTTGTTTCAGGACGTATATTGTTCTTCTTGAATTGGCATCCGGTCGTCTTCGGTGTGGAGTTCTGCATGATATGACCGTCAACAAAATGTGATTATCACTTTCGTGACGGTGGTGATGAAGCGTTGTTTGATACTTGTGGACTAAAACATCAAATTATCATTCTGAGGTGTCGTTGACTCTGGAGACTAATTTTCCACCAATAAGATTGCTGACAATGCCAAGGACGTGGGGTATAATTATTGCTAAAATGAAGTTGAGTTCATGCTACGATATTGGGGAGTGGGGGAAGAAAGTATTTGGAGTTAGAATGGGGATAAAGCCTCATGATCAATGGAATTGTGGGTTATGATAAATGATAAGAGATCATGTACAGTCTAGGTGTTGAGGCTCAAATATCTATAATTCATCTAATCGGAGAAAAGAACGTTGAGAAACGTTGTCAAGGAGACGAGTTTGGGAGGACGAGATCAAGATTGTGGGGTAACAGCCTGTCAGGAATGAAGGGGTTGAACTAGTTGTGTACCAAAGTATATCCTCAAATTGAGGGAATAGAAAGGGTTTAAAAATGTTCTTGATATAAACTGTATACGATAATGAAACAACTCTTGTTCGAATTTCAAATAATCTTAGTTTGTGGAAGCAATTGAATTTTCTTCTATCAACACATGTAATTCCCTCTCGATACTTGTTAATATATCTAGACCAATCAACCCCCTTCATCCCGCCATTTATTTTCGCTTGTTAGCCCCGGAAAATTAAAGAGCGAGCAACACCGATTTTTACCCCTCAAATTCTCCGGTGATGCAATTGTTCGACAGTGAATATGCACATGGGTTCACCAAACCACTGCTTGGAAGGTAAGAGCAGTTGTACCGGTACCACCACCTGCATTATGAAATTGATAGTATCCCCTACTATCATGATCTTTCCTCTTACTTACATCACAATCGACTTTGGGTAAATCTCTCCTTGCTCTTCATCGAACACATACCCCAACTTCAATTTAAACAAACGAAGGACAAACATATTCATCATGGCTTCAGAATTGAAACCCCTCAATGTTCTCATGGTAGGAACTGGTGAATACACCACCGGTTTCGTGGGAGGTGGAGCTTCAGGATCAGATAAGAAAGTTGGAGTTGTAGGACTCTCATTATTTGACCTGCGAAGACGTGGAAAGGTTGATAAGTTGTCTATGGTTGGCACATCTGGAGGAAAATTCCCAGCTATCCGTTTGTCTCCCAATTAACCCGCATCTGATTTCGTACCATCTGCCATGTATCGCCAACTAACAGACTTCATCAGGTGAACATCTTAACAAGAATATCTCCCAAGTTTACAACAATCTCGACACATCCTTTGATTCTTTCCCAGCAAACGACAAAACCGACCCTTCAGCCTACAAAACCGCCATCGATGCCCTCTTCCCCGGTGATGCAATTACGATCTTTACTCCCGACACAACCCATTACCCCATCGCTCTCTATGCTATCGAACGCAAAATCCACGTCCTGATAACCAAACCCGCCGTCAAACTTCTCTCCCAACATCTCGAACTTCTCGAAGCTGCCAAAAAACATGGCGTCTTCGTGTACATCGAACATCACAAACGTTTCGACCCCGCATACTCCGATGCTAAACATAAGAGTTTGGGATTGGGTGATTTCAATTACTTTTACAGTTATATGAGTCAACCGAAATCACAATTAGAGACATTCAAAGCGTGGGCTGGCGTCGATTCAGATATCAGTTATTATCTCAATTCTCATCATATTGATATTTGCGAATCGATGGTTTCTCAGCAGGGATTCTTGCCAGTAAAAGTCTCAGCAAGTGCTAGTAAGGGAACAGCCGTGGGATTGGGCTGTGATCCAATCACCGAGGACACTATCTCTTTGCTTGTGCATTGGGTTAAGAAGGATGATCCAAGCAAGAGAGCGACAGGTGTTTATACCGCATCTTGGACTGCACCACAAAAAGCAGGCGTTCATTCAAACCAATACTTTCACTACATGGCTAGTGGAGGAGAAATCCGAATTGATCAAGCCAAGAGAGGATACGATGTAACAGATGACAAGGTTGGTCAATTGATGTGGTATAATCCATTCTATATGCGTTATGCACCAGATGAAGAGGGCAACTTTGCCGGACAGACAGGGTATGGATATGTCAGTTTCGAGAAGTTTGTCGATGGATGCAGATTGGTCAATAAGGATGGTGTTTTTGCAGTGAAAGTGTTAGACGATAGAGGATTACCCACTTTGGGCAATACTGTGGGAACAACCGCTATCCTAGAAGCCGGAAGAAGAGCATTGGATGAGAACAGGGAAGTGGAGATCAAGGTTGAGAATGGTGTTTGGTCGCTTGTTTAAGGGAAATGAGTGAGAGATGAGTAATACCGAGGTGTCTAATTATATTTACTGCTAGGTGCAGTCAACAAATGAATCGATTATTTTCTATCTTGATGCATTAGTTTTTGCTTGGTTCTATTGCCTTCTATTATTGCCATCGTCTTCTGATCTTCTCCCTCGAGGATTTACTGCCTCTCCCCCCACCATTTTTTCAAGCCCGCTCATCCTTCTTCTCCCCAATCAAATATATATACATATATACCAAAAATGCCTCCACTGGGAAGAACCTTTTGTGGTTGGCCAGTTAGTTTCTCGCCAATTTCGAGAATCATTAATTATGTGGGAGTCTCATTCTATCGGCACGTGTGTTTCTCACGCCTATTTCAGTTTTTGTACTCTAGATGTCGAAGTCAATGGCTTGAGTATCTCCAGCGGGGTCTCGATATGTTGCGGCAAGTTTTTTTTTGGTTCGGTTGTATAAAAGACACGCCCCTAGATCTTTCAATTCTTTTCTTAGTATAGGTATCTGTTTACTATTGATGGTTCAGTACAAGAAGGGAAGATGCTTCGAGGTCTAATTTTCTTTTTGTATGTATGGGGTTGAAATTCTGGGTGTTGTTCAATGGGATGGGATATGAGTAAAGTCGCTGTCGTTTGTAGTTTATTTACATTACTGTTTTCTTGGTTGTCATGTAAATGTCTATAAATTGAATGGCGGCAGTTAAATCACTAGTGTGTCGTCAATAGTTTCCAAACAGTTACATTTCCTTAGGCCACGAGGTTGACCGCAACACAATTCATTGTAAGAGTTGCGGCCATCACTTACCGCACCCCACCACTTTTTCATACCTTATTTTTAAAGTTTAATTATAAATCAACACTACAATAATTTTTTGTGAAAATGAGGATATATATTAATTAATAGTAGATAATCCTCGTACTTCAATCACATCTTCTATTTTACATGTTAATCTTTCAGTATATGGCCTGAAATCTAAGAGATCTACCCTTTCCCACAACCTCCTCAATTCTCTCTTCAATTCCTTAATAGAAATGGGTACAAATGGTAGTTTTTTCAGTTCCTCCTTTATCCAGCGCCATACCTTTTCAATTGGGTTGAGATCTGGTGAAGAAAGGGACCAATCGAAACCTCATACG